CCAAATCACTACTTGTTAAAGCAATTAATTTGTTCTCAAAAAAGCCTTTAAATCTCTTAAACCTGGGTTCAGTAGTCCATTAATGTCAGGCTTTACTATCAAGAATAATTTTCAAAGGCCACGTTAGAAACATGTAAACTGATTTATGGCCATCAGCTGGTTTGCTTTTAAAATAAGCTTCTATATTCATTCTGAAAGGTCAACAGAGAACGAATTCATGAATTTGCACATGGATTCATTAATAATGAAACAACTCTACATTTCAGATCCCTCAGTGTACCTTTTTACATCAAAGTCTTCTGTTCCAAGTACTGTTATGTCTTCTCATTTGAATATTCTTGCCAAGAATATTTTCTTTTTAAATAGGAAAGAAAGCTGACATGAATGGAATAAATGGAGAGGCTGAGAAATGTGCAGCTGCAGGATTGCTTCTCATCCAGCAGGCTGTGCAGATACTGGAATATTAGAAAGAAAAAACTTAAAAGCTGAAATCTCTAGTCTCAGGTTTTACTTAACTTACACTCCATGATTACAATTCACCTTGGAACGCTCTATAAAAATGTAAAAGACAACTAGTGGCTTTGTTTAAACATAGTCAAGTAATAGATATTCTACTAAAAAGTTAGAACTCATTAGCCTTTTTACCCTGAAAAGGTTAGCAAGTTTACTTTTAAAGCCAATACCCATATGTTCTATGCCAGGAACTTTGTTAAACATTTTACATATTTAAGAATATTTGAGCTTCTTATGGCTGCATTATTACACATAAAGAAATTGAAACACAGACTAGTCAAATGGTTGTATTTGTCCAAGACAACAACAGTATAAAGAAAGAACTTAGATTTGAATTCAGGTCATTTAACTTCTGATGCCAAATTTTTGTTTTGTTTTGTTTTGTTTTGTTACCAGAGAATGAACTCAGGACCTTGTGCTTGAGAGGCAGGTGGTAGCACCCCTGAGCTAAATCCCTGGCCAGACTATTGCAACTGCAGTGATTAATGTTCTCCAAGTACTCATTATCAAAGAAAAAGTGGTAAAGGAGAGAATAAAGTTTACAAGAAAACATAGTGTTCAAGGCACATGATCTCTACGTGTATTCTAATAATAAAGAAAAAAAAATCTTTTTGTGTAACCCCTCTTGGAAGCTTCAGTAAATACATTTTTCCTCTGCAGAAAGGGTGCTATTTCAGAAAGTACATGTTCCGCTGAAATGTGAAAAAGGTAAAATCAGCTAACAATGACTCTCTCCTAAATTGTAATTATCTCCTTCTGAGATAGATCAGCCGGCAGGCTTAGCAGCCTTGTCCAACATTCTAGAGCCAGACTTCCTGTGTTTACCAGGCAATGTGATCTAGTAGGTGAAGCAAGGATTTTGGAGACAGAATTCAAACCTCATACTGGCATTCACTAACAGTGCGACCTCACTTCATCCAATTTTCCCCTTTCAATCTTCCTTCTTTTTCTTAAAAGGAATATGCACCTTAAGTTTTGTAATAGTGTATCAAAAGTGCATGGCTTAGAAGATTCCCCCAAAAGGGTTGATTTATAGTTGTTGTTACAGTGACTGGATGCTAACTAGAGAAAGCCTGTAAGATTAATGGACAATTCTGAGTTCAATGCATTCAATGAAACTTTAATACTAAATTATATCTAATATACTGGCAAGCACTGTAGTGAAACATGCTGAACAAATGTTCTCTGCTTTCAGAAACTTTACGACCCAGAAACAAGATAAAATAATAATAATAGAGTTGGAAGCAGTTAAGTTTGGTGGGAGAAAGGTCTGAAATAAAACAGTAATGGAAGATGAGGTCATAAATGTCAGCTGAGGCATGTTGCAAGTCTTGGTCTTGAGTATCAGGAGACAGAGCTCATTCTCAATTTGGTAGGCAGTATTCCGTGACCGGAACAGTGAGGAAAAAAAAAATCAGAATTTCAATTTAGACAGTTTAATCAAGTGAAGAAAGTAGTGGCAGGAATCTTTCTAATGACAGGATGCTTTGTGAGAAGAGTATGGATTTGGTATCCCCGCCCCCCTAAAAATGGTGGAAGAACTGACTTGTTCTGTGGTTTTCTTCTTTGGAGTCTTCTTTGGATCCAGAAAGGAAGTGGTAGGCTGAGGATGAAGGTGTTTTGTGCAGTCATGGAGCAGGGAGAAGCTGACTTAGCCCCTGGGAGACAAGTTACTGTTCAGTGGCATCAGACTACCCAACTACAGTCTATAAAATTTCTTAGATCCAGGCTTATCACATTCCTCCATCCACAAGGAAAATTAGCGCTCATTTGACCCCAGATTTCTAGCCTCCTGTGCCAAAAAAAAGAATACCATGCACTCTAAAACAGCATTTTGATGAAATAGCTAATTAAATATCGGTGTCTAATAAGTTATCAAAGCAGCATAACTCCAATTATTTTTTCAATGTTTTATGTAGAGTATCAGTAGTTTCAGGATTTAATCATTAATCTTTAACATATAAAACAGGAAACAAAAATAACTTCCTATTGAATGTTAATATGTCAGTAATTTGAAAAGACTTCCTGTAACTAAGTTAAAAACATCTTATTAATGGATTATATAATTTTGATTAGAGAAGCTACATAACTGTCAGTGAGTACAGCATGATTTTAAACTTTGGGAGTATGATTTAATAAATAAGTAGAAGAAAACAAAATGTAAGTAACATTTGTAATGTCGTTTAGCAGAGTAACACATGAATGGCCAAAATAATGTGTTATTATTTAAAAATCTGTTTTAATACATTCATTTTCTTCTCCAATTTATATTAGCCAAAGTAACTCATATTTTGAGCACTAAAACTATGCTAAAATGAGCTGTGTAAATGTAAGTCTGTAGTTATGAGTCATCTAAGTTCATTAAATCAAGAAAAACCTCATCTACGGGAAAATATTCACAACAATGTGAGCTTTTTGGTGAGATAAAACTGACTCATTAACTTCAACTACATTCACAATACTATATTTATTAAAGGATGGGGTTGTGGAGAAAGTACTCTTTTACCTATTTTTGGAAAGTTCTCTGCAAACAAAGTCAAAATAAGAGGTTTCTCCTTAAGCTCATGAAAATAACTAGAAAAACCTTCAAGTGTTATGATTAACCAGGGCTTACCTATATGCTTTCCTTTATGGCTTTTGGTTCAATGCAAGTTCTTTTTTTGGTTGAAGTAGAAAGACAGGAAAAGTCTTAAAGCAGATTATCCTAAAATGTTTTGGAATTTTCCTATGGCTCTAAAATACCCATTGCTACCTATTCTCTTAAATATGTATATATACATGTATGCATATTTAAATAGACACAGATATAACAAAGAATATTGTCTATTTGCATAAAAATAACAATGTGGTGAGCATGACATTATTAAAAGGACTCTTGTTCATACTGAATTAGTAAAGTGGTTAACAGACTTTGAATTAATTTACCTGAATATTATGAATTTGGAAACTAAAGAGAAATAGTATTCACAAGTTTCTGTCCATTTCACATAGGCAGTTTTGTTTGGATGGTACAAAAACCAAGTCATTTGATTCTATTATATCAGGCAAGATACTGGAATGGGGAAAGAAAAACAATCAAAGGAAATGGGTAAAATTAGTCAAGTCATTTGTCTATTCCAATAGACTCCAATAAAGATTAGCTGAAGCACTAAAAACATCTTATTAATGTATTACATAAAGCTCTAGCGTGTGCAAAATAAGCCCTTTAATAATAAGGTAGTCATTTATATGCAATTATGCAATATATTATTTGTAAGGACTCAACAAAGCAGAGACAAATGCTACTCGAAGACATTACCTTGAGGAAAAATGGCATTTTAATCAGGAAAAAAGCTTTCCAGAGATGACATACCTTCTGGGGAAGACATCAGTGACTCCAGCCACACCATGAGGCTACACTTCCCTCCTCTCTGGAAATCAGGAGCGCCATGTGATTAGTTCTGAATGAAGAGTTGTGGCTGAATTGACAGGTGTTACTGTTGTCTGGAATGAGTGTGAGACTCGCTAGGCCCCTGTCCCTTCATGGTGGTGACCACAAATGTTGCATCAGCATATCCCTGGATGTGACTGACAGGAGCAGTGTATCCTGCCAATATGGGATGGGCTTAAGTGAAGAGTGACCTGTGTTCATGAATCCGTCTAAGTTTTGGGGTTGCTGCCAATGCATAATCCACCCTGCCCTGCCTAACATCTTCTTTGCCTGGAAAAGACACAGTCCATGTCATGAGTTTTAAGACAGATACAGAGATGAAATGTGCTGGGTGACACAGTAAAATTTATTTGTCTTTATGACTTCCACATAGTAATTAAATACATAAAAGAACAAACACTGTCAAGATGGCCATATGTAGCTTAGAAACAACTGGTCCCAGTTCAATTATACAAATGTTCATTCAGCTTAGAAATGAGTTTCTTTTTAATTTTTGTTTGTTTGTTTATTTTTTTTTCCGGTCCTCAAGGTTTGCACAGTTCAGTAGAAATGTTTTTGCCATTTTTTTAAATCCTGAGGCACATGATATTTACCAATTCTCAGGACATAAATGAAACCAACACAAAGTCCAGTAACAACAAAGCACAATTTCATAGAAATAAACTTGATAGGCTCATTGCAAGTTTGATTCAGTTTAGTGAACAGATCTACATTAAATTACACTTGTATTAAGGATTCATTTCTTTTAAAATATTTATCACACATTTTTGTGCAAGGGTTCCATTGATTTCTTTGGTTTTAAACATTATAGCTCTGTTTGGCCTAAATATATATATATATGTATATAGTTCTATTTGTAGTAAATATCAAAAATCAAAAATTTAAAAAGTAAAAATGGAATTATTGCTTCAATACAAAAACTGTGTGACCCATTTGGGTGCTACTATTATTATTGCTTTTCTCCTATTGGAAAGCTATCCTGGAAATCAAGGAATGTACTCCAGAGCTCCTTGCTTGAAGTATAATTTGGTTGTACATTATTATTTGTTATTATGTTCCTACCTTCACCAAAGCTGTTTGATTTTGTCTTCAAAAAACAAAATAAAGGTGAAATAGCATAAATAAATAAATCTACCTAAGGGAATACAATAAATAGGCTTCCAAATAGGAATAAAGAATATTGTGACATAAAGCCCATCAGTGCTATACAATTAAACAATAGCTTTGGATCTTTAAGGTCTCTAAATATAGCCTTCGTTTTAGAATGGTCTTCAGCTGACAGAAAAAGAGAACACATTTCTTTTGTTCCCAAATAAAAATGAAAATATAGTGGATACAATTGTAAATTCTGCCTTTTGGGAATTTACCTAAGCATGTTTGATCATTAGTTTTTGACCTTTGCCTAATGATAGAGTATAAATCCCAGGGATTAAAAAAAAAAATCACAATATTCCTTTAATTCTTAGTGGTTTCTTGGTCTCCAGAGTAGGTATTAAAAGAAGAAATCAGACTCAAAAGTTTTGCTGCCTTCTCTTCTTTGCATCCATTGCATCCAGAATGGGTTGTCTTTTCGCAGTGTATCTTTGACGAAGTTCTTCTATTTCACGTTCCATCATGGGGTCCAGTGCTTTTAACCTCATCTGTAGTTCTTCTAAACTTAGATTTTTTAACTATATATAAAAAAGACAAAGATATTAGTATAGCAAATATCCATAATACTTTAAGTCTAACGATTTTAACAATAATATTTCATCAAAATTCTTCATCTTTGAAAGGTGGTCAGCAATTAAAATGTGAATTTCTTCCCTGAAGACCAGAAAGCATACTTTGTAAGAACTTCAAGCAATTTATAAAGAACAATCATAATGTCTGCATTTAGGAAAAAGCAAATGAAGAAAAGGCTGATGAAATACATCTCTGTTAAAAATTTTTTAAAAGCACAGACAATACTACCACTGTTGACAAACAGCTGTTCAGGCTGTTTCTGGGACAGGTATTCTAATCTTTCACATCTTAGCCACTTATGGAGTGCTACAATAATTGTGACCACAGAGTATGTCTGAGGCCTCAGGCAAGAGCAAGTGAAGATTCACAGTTTTATCCTTCACTTAAATGAATGCTGACATTTAAAGCACTCAGAGAGAAAACTGCACTATTCTAACTATTTTGTCCCAAGTATTTTGATAAAATAGGGTTTTAAATTTATGATGCAAAATATGGTATCAATATCCCAAATCTGATAAAAACTGTGCTGTGTAAGATCGGAAGTGGGCTTGCCAATTTGAAAATGAAGTGCCTGTGAAATTTTCACTATATACATTACAGTTTGATTATGTTGGCTTCAGGTGACAAAAACACTCCCTTTACTAGTTTTCTGTGTAACAGCAGGAGAGAGGCCTCATGTCACATGTAAGGGGGATAAAATCTGCTCTCCTATATAACAGGATCTAAGGCAGCCTGAGTTTTACTGTATTTATATGTCAAAACAGGAAGACAATGGATTATCCCCTGAGAAACACATTTTCGGGATGTAATCTGGGCAGCACAGAATGTTCCACAATATGTAACCCAATACACTGAACTTTTCTTAAAAAAAAAATCTAAAACACTGTCTCCTTTAAAAACTAATTATAGTGATAGTGGAAGGCAGGTAGTTTAAAAAAGCCTATTAAACCACAATGATTTATAGAATGCTACTGTCATTTACTCAGTATCTTGGTGGGTACAATAAGGAATGCAAAGAAGGAAGTACTATTTCCTTGTCTTAGTTGTCACTGAAGGACTGACATAAGACCCCCATACAAAGCCCCACTGAGTGTGGTAGAGATCATAGTGAAAAGTACCTAAGTCCATGAATAAGCTTCTTAAATGCAAATGCTACAGGCTCATGTGTGCATTTTCCTGGGGTTGGGATCTATTATTTATCTGAACAAAGTTCCTGTCAAAAACAAAGGAGCCTTGTGGTAAATTCAATGGCATTCAGGGAGTGAACAGACTCCTTTTCAGGAGGAAGGACAGTGCTGGTCCTTGAAAAGGAGGGTGCCTCCGAGGAGGATTCTGTGGTAGGACTGTAGGAAATAAGAATGGACAGGCCTGGAGGGGCCCAGGGACTCAGGGACTCAGGCAAAGCAGGTTCAGACTCTAGGGAGCCATAGTCAATTACAGGGCGGCCCATTTTATAAGAGAAATCAGACTTGGTTTTAAAATGATAAAAACTACAGCTCATTTTCTGTTTTGAAACAATAACTATCTTTGGCTATTTTATGAATCAAGCTAAAAAACATCCTCATTACTTACACTCACCAAAAATAGCATTTCTCAGCTATTTCCACTTTACTCAACATACCTGGCCCTAAGTGACTCCTGCTTCACCAAATCAAATCCACTGTCAGCTGAAAATATTCTGAGGATACTGAAAATGATGAGTCACAGCCTCTGAAGGCAATTCAAGAGGAGTTCCAAAAATGTCTGAAAGGCCGGTTGTGGTGGCGTACGCCTGTAATCCCAGCACTCAGGGGGCTGAGACAGGAGGACTGCTGTGAGTTTGAGACCAGCCTGGGCCACACAGTGAGTTCCAGATCAGTCTCAACTACATAGTGAGACCCTGTCTCGAAAAACCAAAAAAAAAAAAAAAATCTTAAGGGATGTGTTACGGGAAAGTGTACAGGCTCCCTGACAAGGACTCACTTAGAAGGTGAACACCACTTGTTTTGGGCCACAAGTACTCTGGCATGTGCCGAATAAGCTACGCTTGTTTAGTCATTTGTCACAAAAGTACTTAGTTAGCTTCTTATGCTATAAATGCATTTATACATAATTCAGAGTATTGTATATATTTTCTTTATTAACTTTTAATTCAAGTATTAATTTCCATCTGCTCAAATCACTGTGGAATGAAGAACAAGCTGCCAGACAACCTTGGAACTTTCTGAACTGTATGAACTGGTGATGTGGAGCTGAAAGGCCAATGTGGACACACAGCCACATTTCCCTGGGAAAAGATGTACCCAGACTCATCTACAAAAGATTTGATTCCACTTCAGTATTTCACAAGACATGGTTTCCATTTCAGCCCATGTTAATCAGAAGAAACAGTTTCCTCTTCTAACAGATCTTTATATTTTCAGTATTTAAAATTTGTGGGAAAATAAGCCTGTTACACCAGAGAACCATTATCGGGCATTGTTAAGAAATTAGGTGTTCCATTAAGTAAATTGAGTTAGTACCTGTTATGATTTGAATAAAAAAATATCCCCCAAAAGCTTGTGTGTTCAGAGGTGGGATTCTGTGAATGGGATAAGATCCTGGGGTAATAACCTCATCAATTAACTGATCCACTGATGAATTAATAGTGGAACACACTAATAGGCAACAAGGCCTAGTTGGATGAAACAGGTCACTGGGGACATGACTTTGGAAGTATTCTGTCCCGAGTCCCCTTCCTCTCTTGCGCTTGCTCTCTGCTTCCTGGCTGCCATAAGGTAAACAGCTTTCCGCATCTTTCTTCCATGATGAGGCCTCACCACGGCCTAATAGTGAAAGAAGCAGCTTACCATGGACTGAACCTCTCAAACCAAGAGCTAAAAAACCCCTTTCTTCCTTCAAATTGTGTAAGTTGTTAAATTATTTTCCTAGCAATGGAAAGGTGACTAACACAATACCTAAATCTCAAATTAAGTGATAAAACCTTGCCTCATTCATTTTAAACATAAAGTCTTTACAAAGGATTTCACAGAATTTATACAGCAGAGAACAAAGGACCTCAGAAAAACTTTCGTTGATGGTGAGCCACTATCATTAATACTTATTACTTATCTGTGCCACATATTAATTTTTTTCTTTTTTTGGTTTTTTATGGTTCTTTTGGTTTTGAGCAAAAGCTGTCAGCTCCTTTTCCTGGCTGCCATGGGACATATATTTTATCTCTACATCAAGTCTATTCATCTATAGCAACTAGAAAGGCAATGACACAATCTTACAAGGCATTACACACTAAGGAATAGTAGGCTGTGAATGAAAGCCTTCAGACTGTTAGGCCAAGAGAGCATGTCTCTAGTACTGAAGCTTGTTATACCTGTTTCTAGTGCTTGTATATTTTTAAAATATCTGATTTCAAGTTTTTGGCTTTGTAAGGTTGAGGGTACAGGAAATCTGACTTGTGCATAAGTAATATGTTTAACTATGTCTTCAGGTGTGTTGTCAGAGAACTTCAGAGGACTCATTTAAAAAAAATACTTATTGAATTTTTTTCCCACAGATCAAGCAATGAGATGAAGAAAACACTACTTCTCACAATGAGCTTGCAATCTAGCCAGGAGGGCAAGTTTAGGCACCAATAACTCACTGGAGGAGGAGTAAAGTGAGAAACCCGGAAATAGGATGGGGTGGGAAGATGACCAGCATGAGGAGATATACATGTACAGGGTGGAGGGATGTGTGGCATCTTTTAAATATGTCACAGTGGAATGTATGATATTACCAAGAAGCTTAGGATGGATGGGGGAAGAGGAACAGAAGATGAGGCAGGAAAGAGAGCAAGGCCTGATTGCCAAAGGCATAAGTGTGCTGTTACAAACTTTCTGTGACAAGAAAGAAATTCTAGACGTGACATGATCACCTATGAGCTTTAGAAAGATATCTCCAATAGCAGGTATAAAAAATGGACTGCCATGGGGAGAACAAAAAACCAAGGGTAGGAGGACCCATAAGCAGTAGTACTGCAACAGGCTAGTGAGAAGGCTAGTTTGAACCAGAACAATGGAAGTGAAGACTGAAAATCAGAGAGGGATTTGAGATGGGGCCTTCTCTTCTGGCTGACTATAAAGGGGGGAAAAAGGGTTAAGGCTTCCAGCGTGGGCAATGGGGTAGAGATAGATATCAAGTTAATGAAAATGAGTTTGAGGTAAGAGCAAGGCATCAAGGTAGAGACACTAGATATGGACTGTAACTTGGGGTTTGGGGTCAGGTGAAAGATCTAAGCTAAAGATTCAGACTCAGAAAAATTGTCAGCATTCAGGCTACAACCAAAGCCCAACACAGAGACGATCATGCAGGAAGAGGTTTCTCCACAATCTTATAATCTGTCTATGGTGCCCAACAGAACATATATACCTTGGCATTTGTAGTCAAGAGGCTCTTCTCATTTTGTTAAGAGAACACTGATACTGGTAGGTTTCTAAATAAATCTAGATTATAATATAAAGAAAAAAAGAGGTTAACTGGTAGAATTTTTCACTTTATTATATACAGTGGGTATCATTTATAGGCATAAACCTCTGGTTGGGCTTTGATTTCTTATTAAGCCTGAATAATATATATGTAGCATTTGGTTTTTATAACTATCAAGCCTCCCACAGAAAGTAAAACACTTTGGGAGGGAAAAATGGAAGAAATGACTTGGTCAATGTCTTTCAAAATAGTACTGCTCAATGACTTAGTAGTAAAAAGATTCACACACTAGATAAAATTTTATGGAGACTCATAATGACAAAAATGGCTCTATAATATCATACATTCCACTATGACTCATTCAAAATGTCAATCTAAATTAAAATGGTTTTTTTATGGAGGGGCTAATAAGGATAACATTAAAAGGGAAGTTCAACTTCCTGAAATAATAGCAGTGTTACCATGATCAAAGTATCCTTCATCAGAGTCAGGTTTCCTGAAC